AAAACCACCTTATGAAAATAGCTCAAAAATTCTCAGAGAAAATAGAAAAAAAGAGCATTGAATATATTATATTACGGATAGAATTGATAACCAAAATTTAATGAAGTAGTCATTATAGTTGATTGGGTATCTGAAATTCGCCTTAAAAATAGACATTTGTAATCAAAACGCACAAGGATCATAAAATACATACAATAGTCAAATGTATGAATATACACACCCACTTCCACTCCCACACCCACAATACATATGTCCATATAGAAAGCAGAGGAGCGTACTCACCGTAGGAGATTGAGGGTAGAATTTAAGGGTTTGAAGTGTTTAAGTCGTTACAGAACTCCTAAACACCATTGCTGAAACTGTGTGTGAGAGAGAGAGAGCACCAAAGTGGAGGTGAGGGTGGGAGAGATTTTTCACAAGCTATTGTGAATAGTAAACTTCCACAAGCCATTCGTCACAGCCCACAGGCCCAATTCGAGTTGGCTTTGTTAGACCATTTCCGGTCCTTATCCAAACTCTTATTTGATATAGTCTTTTGACTCTTTTCTAATGGATAAATCTTTTTTTATACTCAAATCTTTTTAAAAAATTCTCATGTTATCCCAGTAGCTCATTTTTTTTCACGAAATTTGTGTGTATGTATATATATATATATATATATATATATATGTAAATGTATCTATATACTGCGATTGTGACAAAAGAAGGGAGAGAGAAAGAGAGTGTGTGTGCTTCCCTAAAGAGAGATCTATTGGTGAACATAAAGTTGAAGTGGCGTGAAAAGAATAGAGAGAACATATTCTTTACTGGTAGATTTTTTGATCTAGGTTTTGAGTCTCTCTTTATTTAGGTTTAAAATAGGATCTCCCTTCATTCTGTATAAATTTGGATATAGGATTGGAGAATATTTTTGGCCTCTCTTTACCCCAATTTAAATTTGGGTATAAAAAAGGGGTAAGGACTTAACATGCTCTTAAGTTGCTCTCTAACTATCAAATAATTGAAGATTTTTTTAAATATTTTTAGATGGTACTTATTTGTATAAGTAAATTCAATTTTACTTCAATATTAAAGAGGAGTTAAACCCAAATAACCTCGAAGGTATTCAAAAGGCTTGTCCTCTCCTCACATCTATATCTGTACTACTAATAAAAGTATCTTAACATGAAAGACTTTTGATTCTCTATACCACTCTACCCATTCACAATTAAATATCTAAATTATCTATTATTTCTTTATATATTTAAATCTCTAAATTACCTATAATATCTATTTTAATTATCTGTATATTCTCTCTGTATAATTATCAATTTATATGAAACTTTTTTATTACTATATTATCTTTAAAAAATATACATTATTATATTTTCAATAAAGTGTCAAAAAATCTATTAATCTAATATTATTCATCTCATATTCAAAGATAACATTTTCTGCACATGTTTATTTTATTTTTCATTAAAAAATTTAACATTTTCATTTTTGAGATAAAAAATAGTTGTATATATATATTTTTAAAATTAATTTATGCTACATCAATATAATTTTTTAGCCACAATAAAATTTTTAAGTTGTATTAAGATTTTTTGTGAATAGTTTGTAGTGTATTCTTACGTAAAACTTAATTTTTTAAAAATTTTGATATACTTTAAAATATATATTATAGAGGAGTATATTAAATCTTATCTTAATTGATCTAACTAATTCTTAATTACAGTAAAGTTCCAATATGAGTATTGTATTGACAATTTCTTTTATTTTATTCAAATTCAAAGAATTATAAGTGGAATCATAATCGAGTAAATTTAAAAAAATTGAATTTCTCATATATCACTAAAAAAGTACTCTAAATCCCAAAATTCTAAAAAAAAAAATAGAAATTTAACTAGTTTTTCTATCTTTTTTTCTTATAATTAGGACAATGAATTTTGAGAATATACAAAATTTTCATAATTCTATAATAAAAAATGAGTAATGAAGAATTAAGTCTGGTAAATTTGAGATGATATTTAATTTAGATACACATATACTAATACGTTATATTAATTTTTATGTACAAAACTATTTACGTAGTGCATTGCTAGTAGAAAAATAAACTTCCATGAAGCCTTTAGTGAGCTCATATTATAGATAGGGTGCCACCATGTGGAGTTGTTTATTTTGGATTTTTGTCATACTTTAATTAAGTTTTATTTGGTTTGGATAAGTAATTGTGCTAAATAACTAATTATAAAATTTATTTAGCAATCGTTTCGAATTCATGTCACTATACACTAGTTGTGGATTTGCACATAGAATTTGTATGAAAGATTATCACCCTTGACTTTCAGACATACTAGTTGGTGCGCACGTGCAATGCACATGAATTATTTCTTATTCTTTTTTTCAAATTTCTGTAATCTGCATTTGTTGGGTTTTTATTATATTGTGGATAGTAAATTTTAATATTATATTTTTATTTTAGTATTAAAAATCCAAGACAGACCAATTGATAAAAAAAAAAATGTGAACAAGGATTGAATTGAACATATAATAGAATTCTGGGTTGTGAACAATAATTCGATTGATGATAAATAAAGAAAGTTATTGGTCCAATTCTCCACCTTAAAGATGGTTAGGTCTAAATTTGATAATTGAGCTTTGTAATGAAATTTATTCTTGAGTCAATTTTCTTAGACTTTACTGGCTCAAATCTCTTGTTTTTATTGCAAATTAATTTAATTATGAAAGGATTAACATTGATGCTTTGTTATACTATCTTTTATGAGATGACTCACAAACCTTACATATTAGAATTCTATAAAAAAAAATAGTATTTTTTGGGCCAATCCAATCTTGCAGGTAGTAAAACTTATATAGTCCGCAAGAAATTTGTTTTACTTAATTCTTTCGCTTATTCTTATAGATATTGTGAATTAAAAAATATATCCAAAAATAGATTTTAAAAAAACCTATAGCAAATACCAAATTAGATAAACTAAATGTAAGTTTCTTGATCTAATCATATTTATATATTTAGAAGAAGATATGTTTCTAAACATTGTTTGCGGCTACAAGAAATTAGTTGTAAGTTTTCTCTATTTTTTTGAGTCATGTGCACACATGAAATTCTTTCTTTTCTCTTTTTAATAAAACAAAAATAAAATGAAATCTGATCACAAAAAAAGGTCATAAATAAATTTGAAATATAAAAAATCTCATGATTACACATGAAATTTTGAGTGGCTATAAAGAAATCATTTCCTCATCATCAGTCCATCAACTAATTCCATAGCATTATGACACTAAGAAGATCATGCAAAGTGATTGGTGGCATTGAGTGAAATAATCCACGAACTTGTTGGTAAACCTGATGATCATGTCCATTCTTCACATAAGTGCATTAAATTTTTATAGACAGTGTTGTTAGAACTACAGATATAGATGTGAGGAGAGGACAAGCCTTTTGAATACCTTTNTGGGTTTTTATTATATTGTGGATAGTAAATTTTAATATTATATTTTTATTTTAGTATTAAAAATCCAAGACAGACCAATTGATAAAAAAAAAAATGTGAACAAGGATTGAATTGAACATATAATAGAATTCTGGGTTGTGAACAATAATTCGATTGATGATAAATAAAGAAAGTTATTGGTCCAATTCTCCACCTTAAAGATGGTTAGGTCTAAATTTGATAATTGAGCTTTGTAATGAAATTTATTCTTGAGTCAATTTTCTTAGACTTTACTGGCTCAAATCTCTTGTTTTTATTGCAAATTAATTTAATTATGAAAGGATTAACATTGATGCTTTGTTATACTATCTTTTATGAGATGACTCACAAACCTTACATATTAGAATTCTATAAAAAAAAATAGTATTTTTTGGGCCAATCCAATCTTGCAGGTAGTAAAACTTATATAGTCCGCAAGAAATTTGTTTTACTTAATTCTTTCGCTTATTCTTATAGATATTGTGAATTAAAAAATATATCCAAAAATAGATTTTAAAAAAACCTATAGCAAATACCAAATTAGATAAACTAAATGTAAGTTTCTTGATCTAATCATATTTATATATTTAGAAGAAGATATGTTTCTAAACATTGTTTGCGGCTACAAGAAATTAGTTGTAAGTTTTCTCTATTTTTTTGAGTCATGTGCACACATGAAATTCTTTCTTTTCTCTTTTTAATAAAACAAAAATAAAATGAAATCTGATCACAAAAAAAGGTCATAAATAAATTTGAAATATAAAAAATCTCATGATTACACATGAAATTTTGAGTGGCTATAAAGAAATCATTTCCTCATCATCAGTCCATCAACTAATTCCATAGCATTATGACACTAAGAAGATCATGCAAAGTGATTGGTGGCATTGAGTGAAATAATCCACGAACTTGTTGGTAAACCTGATGATCATGTCCATTCTTCACATAAGTGCATTAAATTTTTATAGACAGTGTTGTTAGAACTACAGATATAGATGTGAGGAGAGGACAAGCCTTTTGAATACCTTTGAGGTTATTTGGGTTTAACTCCTCTTTAATATTGAAGTAAAATTGAATTTACTTATACAAATACATACCATCTAAAAATATTTAAAAAAAACCTCAATTATTTGACAATTAGAGAGCAACTTAAGAGCATGTTAAGTCCTTACCCCTTTTTTATACTCAAATTTAAATTAGGGTAAAAAGAGGCCAAAAATATTTTTCAATCCTATACCCAAATTTATACTGAATGAAGGGAGATCTTATTTTAAACCAAAATAAAGAGACTCAAAACCTAGATCAAAAAATCTGCCAGTAAAGAATATGTTCTCTCTATTCTTTTCACGCCGCTTCAACTCTGTGTTCACCAATAGATCTCTCTTTAGGGAAGCACACACACTCTCTCTATCTCTCTCCCTTCTTTTGTCACAAACGCAGTACATAGATACATTTACATATATATATATATATATATACATACATACATACATATTTCGTGCAAAAAAAAAAAAGCTATTGGGATAACATGAGAATTTTTTAAAAAGATTTGAGTATAAACAAAGATTTATCTGTTAGAAAAGAGTCAAAAGACTATATCAAATAAGAGTTTGGATAAGGACCGGAAATGGTCTAACAAAGCCAACCCAAGCTGGGCCCGTGGACCGTGACGAATGGCTTGTGGAAGTTTACTGTTCACAATAACTTGTGAAAAATCTCTCCCACCCTCACCTCCTCTTTGGCGCTCTTTCTCTCTCACGCACACAGCTTCAGCAATGGTGTTTGGGAGTTCTGTAATGACTTAAACACTTCAAACCCTTAAATTCCACTCTCAATCTCCTACAGTGAGTACGCTCCTCTTCTTTCTATACGGACATATGTATTGTGGGTGTGGGTGTGTATATTCATACATTTGACTATTGTATGTATTTTATGATCCTTACTTGTGCGTTTTGATTGCAAATGTTTGTTTTTATGGCGAATTTCAGATACCCAATCAACTATAATGACTACTTCATTAAATTTTAGTTATCAATTTTGTCCGTAATATAATGTATTCCATGCTCTTCTTTTCTATTTTCTCTTGGAATTTTTGAGCTATTTTCATAAGGTGGTTTTGCTAAATTCTATTTCTGAGTGTTATTTTCTGCAACTTATTATGCAATATTTTTCACTTGTGCTCTTTTCCTTTCAGTTGCAAATTAAGTTCTCTGTTTTTTTGAGTTGCCTTAGTTTTTTAAACAAATTGAAAGTTATCTTCAATGTTATGCTCAGTTTCCTTCTAGGTAATTTAAATTAACCATTCTTTTATTTGTTACCCCTCCCATCACTTACAATTATTTGGGGATTAAACTGGTTAACAGCTCTTATGATTCTTTTTTGAAATTTTCCTCTTCATTGGGGTGGAGGGAAGCAGTGAGGTTTTCTTAAAATTTGTTTACATTTCCATTACTTGTACATTGCAGCATTAGAAAGTGACTAATGAATTCTTGGATTTAGGGATAAATCGGAATTTATTGTTTTGGTGCTAAATATTGTGTTTCCAGGAATGAGTTGTGGCTGCCTTCCTTCCCAGTTTGTTACTACAGTTTTCTTGCGTAGTGAAGGAAGGAGTTTATCTCGTCAATTGGAATTTTCAAAAGGTATCGGTTCACGTGATTCTTTGAAGGTATGTTATATGAAAATTTGCAAGCTTATTGCTTTACATGAATTAGATTTTGCCTATCAATGAAGCTGCAAATGTTTACCAACCCTTGATATGTTTTAAGAATTCTTTCATCCAGCAAAATGTGCACGTAATATCCGTTGGTGAAAAACGAAATAGAGCCCTTGTTGTATGCTTATCCAAAAAAAAAAAAGCAAAAGAAAGAAAAAGTTAATTCTGATAAAACAGAAGGATGCCTTTGCTACTTGTATCAAGCTTCAGTCATTTGGTTAAGTATTATTTGATTATTTAACAGTATGAAAGAATACATTGATCTTTGTACTAGAAAGTTTTCTCCCACTTATTAATTGACAGAATGGGAGGAGATATCATATTTCATTATTTTATTTTGCCAATACACAAATTCTTTGTGCTGGATCCCAAGATATGAATATTGATCCTTAGTACTGAAGATTATTTCTGGTGATCCGATTTCTAGTTTGCTAGACTATTTCCCAATTCATTTTATGGATTACAGATGTTTAGAAAAACCCAATGTGGAATCTACAGTTTGATTCAGAATTCATTTCATGAGTTAACAAATTATCTCTCAAGCATTATTTACTGTTTTCACAAGAAAAACGTAGTACACAAAGTTATTCAGCTGGATTGACAATTAAACGAAGAACCACCATGCTCGAAGACCAAGTCTGGTTGAACGCAAATGTTAAGACGAAGAATGTATGGTAAAGTCAGAAATAATAAAATTAGAAATGAGTATATTCATGTAGCGATAGAAGTAGTCCCAATAGGAGATAATTATTGCATCAATGAGGAAGAGTGGCGTGATGCCTACTACGGTAATGCGACAGTAGAGGCCAACTGAAATTAACTTTGAATGATATGGTAGTTTATAGTTTAATAGGATATGGCTTTTCATAGTGCAAAAAGGTTGAATTAAACACATATTGATGACCCCAGATAGGTGGGAGAAAAACCTTTTTCTTGAGTTGAATGCTGGCATTAACTTGAGATATAAGGCACAGCTCGTGCATTGGTGTGCATCGCCCACTTTGTAGACCATTCTTAGGGTCTATTGTGATTTGTGACTGTACTGATTTGTCCTACTAGTCCTACATCAACACAGGTAGTTTGAGGCTTGTATCTACTATAATCCTTACAAAGCTCTGCTCTTACGAATCTGCAGTTTAATCTTTCTATGCCTTGGATGACTGTATTTCGGGGTGAAGAAATATATAGAAGCAAAATACATAAACTAGTCATACCCGGTCAAAATCAAGACATGACGATTCTCAAGTATTGGACACTATTTCACGGGCTCTTTTAGATGTTTTTCTTGATCACGAACTGACTTACGGTAGTTGAAGCCACACAAGCGATACCCACCCAGGTTCCCACTGTTTTAAAGCCCCTTGATCTAAAAAAATTTTTAATCGAAAGAATGGAGAGCATACTCACAGAACTAGCCAACACTCTGTATTTTGACGTGAAAAATATGCTTCATCTGATGAGTGACGCTTGATAAGGGGTAGTAAGGAAACAGTTTCCCACCTTACGTCTGTGGTTGTTCATGAAAAGGGAGGAGTCTAACAAAGTGGAGTCACTCAGTTTTCAAACTCAAACAATCTCAACCCCAACACCTTACCTGGGTCGCGCTTGCCCCAATTTAAATCCATACCCGAATGCCAACACGGTGGTTATCTTTTTTATTTTTTTATTTTCACTTTTGCAGTTTGGAGGTGATAAACTTCAGTTGAAGTTTAATTATCCATCACAGAATTCGCTTCAGCCCCATGCCTTGTTCATCAGATGTGATCATCCTCAAAATGCCGATTTGCCTCGTTACTATTCGAAGAAGGAGAAGAAGCCCTTCCCAATCCCCATATTGGAGCTACGACGAGCTGCCCGGGAGAGGCTGAAGAACAGGAAACGTCAACCTCAAAGACCAGCCCCTCCTCCGAAAAAAGGATTGGTGGTTAAAAGCCTAGTTCCTCTTGCATACAATGTGTTGAATTCAAGAATCACATTGATCAACAATCTCAAGAAGCTGATGAAAGTGGTGCCTGTTCTTGCCTGCAAGTAACTCCCTGTCTAATTCCACGTTGAATTTAGGTGGATAATGGCAATGTATGGCTCATGAATGTTCTAGCTGTTTTTGGATATTCAGATTATCTATTCACGCAGCAATGTCCAACAGTTTTATCTACATTACATGTGTCACCAAGATAATTTGACTTCTCCATTGCTCTGTTTTCAGTTGACATGTGAAATAGTTCTTCAGAATTTTTCCAGACAAATGCTTGGTCATTCAGTCACGGAAATGCTTTCATGAGCCTTATAAATAACTGTCTCCATTAGGAAGCCTGTTTGTAGAATTTTTTTTGACTGACACTGCCACTACCACTTCTGCAGATGGTGTAATGAAATCCATGTGGGATCTGTCGGGCATCCCTTCAAGTCATGTAGAGGTCAAGGAGCTTCAATCCGTAAGGGATTTCATGAGTGGGCAGATGCAGTTGTGGAAGACATATTAGTGCCACTTGAAGCCTACCACCTCTTTGATCGTTTGGGAAAGCGTATTACACATGAGGAGAGGTTTTCAATCCCTCGTATTCCAGCAGTAGTTGAGCTCTGCATCCAAGCAGGGGTTGATCTACCTGAATACCCCACAAAAAGAAGAAGAAAGCCAATTATCCGGATTGGAAAAAGCGAATTTGTTGATGCAGATGAAAGTGAACTACCTGACCCCGAACCTGAAACTCTGGAAATGCCAGTATTAATTGAGATACCCAATGCAGAAATACTACCCCCATCCAATGGAGAAGAAAGGGTATTGCTTGCTGAGGAAACACTTCAAGCATGGGAAAAGATGAGGGGAGGAGTCAAGAGGTTAATGAAGATGTACCCAGTGAGGGTTTGTGGGTATTGTCCAGAGGTCCACATTGGTCCTACTGGACACAAGGCGCAGAACTGTGGAGCCCACAAACACCAGCAACGGAATGGACAACATGGATGGCAGGCGGCAGTACTTGATGACTTGATACCACCAAGATATGTGTGGCATGTTCCTGATGGGGATGGGCAACTCTTGCAAAGGGAACTAAGGAACTTCTATGGTCAGGCCCCTGCAGTGGTTGAAATGTGTGTGCAAGGTGGTGCTTCTGTGCCTGAGCTGTACAAGCCAACAATGAGGTTGGATGTAGGGATTCCCACAGATGTTAGAGAAGCTGAAATGGTGGTTTGATAGGTGTCCCCCTCTATCCTTTCTTTTTCTTGTTAATGTAAAGGGCATGTCGAATATTGAAAGCGAAAATCATGATTCAGAACAAAGCTGGAAAGCAAAATTTCTCGTTTGCAGCAGGAAAGTCTCTATTGAATAAGATTAAGCAAATTTTTTTACATTCAAAGGAAAGCGTGTTTCAACCACTTCTCAATGTACAAGCATTTTTGGCAGAACACATTTTCAAGGGTTTTTACTGAAGGCATTTTCACAATAAACTTTTTGCTGCCACCGCATACGTGCCCCCACTTTATTAATTAGTTAAACAAAAGTCATGGTAGTACGCAAATTTGCATGGTAGTACGACATTATTTAGTCATTGTTTTTTGTCCATTTGTTTGGTTAGTTTAACATTACTCAATAGTTATACCTCTTTTTTATCACAGCAATCGACACACCCACATCTATATATATATATATTATTAATAAAAATTATTTAACTAGAAAAAGATTGACTAATATTTTTTTATTAAAACAAGGATTAATTACAAAATATCCCTTCCAAGTTTAGATTATATTACAATCAACTCCTTGGGATCATGAATCTTCGACCCTTCAAGTTTAGATTATATATATGTACAAGTCATTACCCGTATTTGAAGGCACTATATAACAAACAAAAAATTTTAACATAATTGTCCAAATTCAAAAAGAATGGTCTAAAAATTTTCATATCAATTCTTCTTTTAAAATGAATTGAAATATATTGCCGATCATATCCTTCATATTAATAGAACTATCGAAAAAATATATAAAACTCTTCAAAACAATACTACATATACAAATGCCTCCGAAAAAAAAAACAAATACTAACATAATCCATTGAAATTTACAATCTTTAAGTAATAAACAAAATTTTGCTCATTTATAAGACTCATAAATTTATCATTTTTACCACCACTCAATTCAATAACAGAATATAATTATAAACACAATCACCATATTTTCAATCTACCTTATCCCCGTGTAATAAATATCTCAAGCAAAAAAAAAAAAAAATACTAACATAATAAAATTAAATTCACAATTTTTAAGTGATAAATAAAATCAACCAAATCTTATTCATTTATAAAACTCATGAATGTATCACCATTATCTTCATTCAACCCCAACTGACACAATAAAATTATAAATTTAATTACCAAATTTTCAATCCTCCACATATAAATATAAACAAAAACATACTCTCACACATTTATTTTTTGACTACCAACAAACCTTCCTAACCAATAACTGTTTTTATTAGAAATATAATAATTCAAGTTTTTATGATAAAATAATAATAAATTAATATCTAATTAAAAAATAGGGTAAAAAATACAGATTTTTCCTAAGTTTTGATTATATTATGCGGACACCCCCAAATATTTTATAAATAACACGGAGATCCCTGGAGTTTAAAATTTATTACACAGAAGCCTCCTATGTTTCCATTCCTTCAATATTGCTAACGAAAATCGATGACTTTATCCCCAAAAAAAATTATTATTTTTATACTTGCCTTTCTCCAACTGTAGTACCCAAAAAAATTAAAAAATTAATAAAATAATATAAGATTTGATTTAGTACCGAAAAAATTGATATAGTTTAATACCCCAAAAAAATTGATTAAATGAATTTTAATATTAATTTGATAACAATAAAAATCAATTTGATATTAATTCGACTAAGTTGAATTTAAATTGGACAAAATTAAATCTCAATTTTTGATAAAAATATATATTAATTTAAAATTTAAAGTTCATTTTGTGTTGAATATTATTTGTTGTTGATTAAACCAATATGAAATTGATCTTAAATTATAATTTTTTTTGTTGTATATAAACTTAAAAATTTGTATTTTAACCCATAAAATTTAAATACAAATTTTTTCACATCATAGCCTATTCTCTCTTACTATATCATTTGGTAAATTTTATTTTGGTCAAGATTCAACCACACATACTTAAACCAAACTAATTGTTCATCCCCACTTTTTTTTTAAGAGAATCACTCACCTCCGCTTGTTAAATTCAAAAATATCTGGTTCACATGAAAATAAGTGAAAGTAAATTAAAAAGCTGACAAAACATTTTGAAAAATTTATAGTTCAAAAAAATTTAATACCAAAATTATAACAAATACATCAAACATTAAAAAAAACTAAAAACATAATTTATATAAAACCATTATCAATGAAAATTTTAGAAGAATTTAGGTACTGAATCAATTAAGACCTAATTTCAGGCAACAATGTGAAACTCAGATAACAAAGTCCTCAAAACGTGAAGGGCTATTTTTTATTTACATTAAGTGTTATTTACAAATTAAGAACCAAGTGGCAAAATATATGTTGACAGATATATAAAATTTTGAATTAATTTTATGGAATAAATATTGCATAACATGTAATTTTCATGTGTTTTATGGAGTAAATAATAAAAAAATAACACTTAAAAAAACAAAAAAAATAAGATAATAATATGAGAGAGAGAAAAAAAAAAGTATAAGATAGATATAAAGAGAGTTAGATGAGCGATAATTGTCTTGAAAAAAGTTGGCATGAGAACTGTCAGATCAATAATCGTCAAGCGATCTGAGCTGCCAAAAGTTAAAGATAAAAAAATCTAACTACTTTATTATATAGATATACATGTCATTATCCGTGTCTGAAAACACTATACAACAAACAAATAAAATCTTAAATAATTACCCAAATTTAAAAGGAATGACTCAAAAATATTCATATCAATTCTTTTTTTAAAATGACTCAAAATATATTGTCGGTCATATCTTTCGTATTAATGACATTGTCATAAAAATATATAAAAACTCTCAAAAACAATAACAACACCATATATACAAATTTCTCTAGGAAAAAAAATACTAACATAATCCCATTAAAAGTTATAATTTTTAAGAAATAAATAAAATGTTACTCATTTATAAAACTCATGAATTTATCACTTTTATTACCACTCAATCCAATAACACAACATAATTAAAAACTCGACCATTATATTTCTAATCCAACATATCCCTATATAATAAATACCTCAAGCAAAAAACAAATGCTAATAGAATACAATTAAACTCACAAACTTTAAGCGATAAATAAAATCAATCAAATCTTACTCATTTATAAAATTTATGAATTTATCACTATTATCTCTATTCAACCCTAAATGACACAATATTATTACAAATTTAATCACTAAATGTTCAATTTCCCTCATATAAATATACACAGAAAAACACTCACATACATTTCTTTTTTAGTTACCAAAAAATCCTCCTAACCAATAAATACTCAAGTTTTTGAGATATAATAATAATAAATTCATGTTTAATTAAAAAACGGGAAAAAAATTCATGGACATTCATTGAGTTTTGACAATATTACATGGACAGCTTCCAATATTTTATAAATAACACGAAGACCCATTGAAGTTTGAATTCATTGCCTATAGACCCATTTGTCTCCCTTCTGTCAATGTCGCTAATGACAATTGATAATTTCATCCAAATTTTTTTTATTATTTTTACAATTGCCCTTCTCTAAATTTAGTACCAAAAAAATTAATAATTTAATAAAATCAAATAAAATTTAATTTAGTACCCAAAAAATTGATTAAATGAATTTTAATATTAATTTGATAACAATAAAAATTAATTTGATATTAATTCGACAAAGTTTAATATAAATTGAAAAAAATTAAATGTCAATTTTATATAAAATTATATATTGATTTACAATCTAAGGTTTATTTCAGGTTGAATATTATTTAGTGTTTATAATCAATGTGCTATTTTTTTTAATTATATTGAGTGTTATTTACAAATTAAAATGTAAGTGGCAAATTACATGTTGTTATATATATAAAAATTTTGAATTAGTTTTATAGAATAAATAATTTTATAAGATATAGTTTCAACTGTTTTATGGAGTAAATAATAACAAAAATAACACCGAAGAAATAAAAAAAAACAATAGTATGAGAGAGAGAAAGAGAGAGAGAGAGAGAATTATGTGAGAGTTGAGAGTTTTAGAGTTATACAAAGAATGAAAGACTAATTAGGACCATCGGATCAAAACAATCTGAATTGCGAAAAATTCAAGACAAACAATCTAACTACTTTATTAATAGATGTATATTACTCCTAAAGCTAAAAGGCTACTAAATTCAAAAATATTTTTTTGCCATAATTATCATCAAACAATTGTATAAAGTTAAATTAGTGCTAGATTAATTACCCTAATTAAAGAGGAAAACTTCAAATTTTCAAATACACCCTTAGTTACTCTTGTAATGTCCACCAATCTTATATGCCTTTTAATCTTCCATGCCCTTTAATCTTCTTTAATATTAAGTAATTATGTATGTAATATGTAGTACTAATTAGTTTGAATGAATCTTCAACTTTTTGTCTTGCACCTCCCTTTTCTTCCATCTGAACTCATCATCTTCCCTATCAATTATAAAGGCTAATCATTGATTATTGTTTTGAAGATTCATGATCCCTTCTATTTATTTGAATGTTTAGCATGGACAATTTTTTAACATTTTCTTCAACCGATAAGACCTATGCCTACTTTCTATGTTCTCAGTCTAACTAGCAGAAAATTTTGATTTGTTGATCCTTTTAAGAAATGGATCGTAAAACCATCACCCATGCACACATTCGCTAACGTTCAAGTCAGAAATTCTGATTATTTTTTTTTCGGACTTTTTCTATCCAAATTTGAGTTTGACAATTTACTACTTCCATAGGTAGCAACAAGTTGTATGATGGGTTTCATGAAACTCAGGGAAGTCACATTCAAAGAATCCAACACCGCTTTGACATGACAAGAGAGGCTGAGGCATCTTGGGGGGCATTATTAACAATGTATAATGCTGGTGAATTTTATCAACGGGAAGATATGTGGAAAAGATTGTTCGAGGAGGTCACCAAAGGTAATATCTAAATAATAGGTGCTAACT